ACTATTTTATTGTTTCAGCCATTTTTAATTACTTGAGAGTATGAGTATGATTGCATACACATAAAGTTCCTCCAAGTATATTCACATTGATTTCGGCTGAGTCTTTTGTTTTATTATTTTTATGTTGATTTAAACTATATGCTTCAAGTTCATTACTTCTAGTTTAATCATCACAACACTTGGTTTCATTTGTCTAGCTTAATCATTCTTTGTGATTAAGAAAGATGAAATCTGAAACCACAACTCACTTCATATCATTATACTTTCTGCAACTTGGAGCTTGGTGCTATTGGAAACCATGAAGATTTGTCTGTTGCAATTGGAGCTGAATTATCATGCAAAGACTGGAAGAGAACTTGTTGCTGAGAAGTAAAGATTGTGCTTTTTTGGAAGGTTAGATAGTTAGTTGCCTATTGTGTGTAGATGAGCTAATATTGTGCTTTGCTAGAAGGTTAGATAGTTAGCTGCCTACTGAGTGTAGATGGAGCTCAACTCCCTTTTTATCTTGTACTTCTCGTTGATAGTGGATTCTCTTACTGACTTGGTCCCTTAGTTTTCCCCCTTGTTGGGTTTCTGGGTTAACAAATCTTTGTGTATGTTTATATTCATGTTGTCATCAGTTGTACTTGCTGCATCGTGTTCAAATGACATCAGTACACTAACATGGATCAATATTGCGTTGCACTGTACTGATCCAAAATCTCAAAGGGTTTCTGTTTGTATTAATACGTGGTGTCGTTTGTATCAATCCAGTTTCATGCAGTCAATTCCATTTACTCACTGCAAATACTAAGTAATTAAACACCATGGTTGTGCGATGTGTTTATGTTTCCGCTTATTAATTCTTAGCTGGGCTAAAATTTTAAAAAGATAGGTTATTACCATATAGCCTACTTCACCCCCCCCCTGTAGGCTTTTAAAGCCTAGGGCCTGTTTTACAAGGAGGCAAACCTAAAAACAACCACCTCTCATACTTCTCCTCTGGGATCTCCGATGGTAACTCCTCCTCCTCTTCTAGTAACTACTCCTCCTCCTCCTATGGTAACAACTCCACCTCCTCCTCTGGTAACAACTCCTCCTCCTATGATAACTCCTCCTTCGGTAACTTCTCCTCCAATAACGC